TTCTAAAATAACTGTTGTTTGTTTATCTTTAGTTTGTCTCAAATTAATTATAATTTTTTTACTTTTTAAGGTAAATAAATTTTTTTTCTACTTCAATCCTATCATTATCTATTCACTTTAGTTAATTATTCAATCATAAAAAGTCTCTTTTTACATCTTTCATTTATTTTGAAGGATATTATAGATAAGAGAAAAGGAAAAATTAAAATGTTTTAGCATTAAAAATGTTCAAATCTTAAACCACAATCATTAAATATGTAGGGTATAATGTGAGTTCTAAGTATATCAAATTCATCAATGTGGTTATTAATAAATGTCTTAATATTTTTAATATTAAGACATTTTAATTTTCCCTTTTTTCCATAGATAAATATAAATATTATTTCTAAATTAAAGATTTGGAAAAGATTTGGAAAGAAAAAGTTAAAAAAATAGTTATTTTGAAATAGAGGATGTAAACTTTATTTTAATACTAATTCCATGTATAACTATTTAATTAAGTCAATTTTTATTGTTTCTCATATAGATTATTAGTGTTGAAGAAATACAATAAATACATCTTTTGAAGTTAAAATTTCGTTTCTCTCTCTCTCTTTTCCGGCATCAAAAAACAATAATTACAAGCAATAATTAAGATGTCTTTTATATTTTGTCTTTTGCGTGGAAATTTTAATAAGAAATCAGAAATCAACGGTTACGCGTTTTCTTTGATGCCACTCAAAAATTCATCCATCACCTACTTGCTATCTACCATTCAGAGCCTCTCTCTTTGGCAATTGGCATCCTCCTCTTTGCGTTACTCTTCCATCTCTGTAGTTCATTTCTAGCAAATTAATATCTGTCCACCTGCACGCTTTCAGCTTTAAGCATTGAGAAGTCAGAAGGTACGCTTCTTAATCCCCAGCTATAGTTATTTTCCATCCCTGTAGCTATATTATTTTTACTCATATTTCATTTTACCTGTGTTTTCTTTGGCTTTTTTCAATCTTTATATAGATATATATATATATATATATTATTTTCAGATCGATAATTATTTCACATCCTCTTCTTGTGTTAGGTACTCTTCCATCTCCGTAGTCAATCCCCGGCAAATTTCTCCGCCCGCTCCAGCTTTGAGCATTGACAAGGTACGCTTTTCTTAATCCCCAACTTTAGATATAGCTACCTACATTATTTTTACTCAAAAATTCATTTTACCATATATTTTCTTTGGCCTTTTGCCATCTTTTCATGGATATATATATATATATATATATGTATGTAAATATAACTTCGATTGTTACTTATTTGTAAGTGTTTTTATTCTTCATTTTTATGTTGGATAATCACTACATATACCAGCATATTAAATAAACAAGAGAGATAATATTAGGTGATTTAATTAGCATTGTTTAAATGTATCTCTATTTAAAAACTTTTTAATTATTGACTGTCTTTTAATTCATTAGAGCACTAATTATTCCTAATTAAGGTCTATTTTTAACTAATATAAGATACTTATATTTTCTCTCCTGGTTGCTACTTTAATTGTCTCTTTCAATCTAATATTTCATTTGCTTGAGTCAGATTTCTACCTCCATCAATTTAAGCTTATTTAATTAGTCTCTCTACAAAACCCAATAACGTTTTGGGAAATGATTTTTGTACAACTTTTTTGTAACACATTTTTGTACAACATAACGTGTCATTTAAATAATTGATTTTTTTAATTCATGTGGAATATGTGATATTGAATGTATTAACTCATGTAATGACATGTGGAAATGGTATTAGAAGGTAATGTAAAATGGTTGTTCCTATAGTACCACCCTAACGTTTAAGCTTTGAGCATCAATCACCGAGAAAAGAAATGCTACTGCAACCTAGCTAATTAAGGTATATATATAGGGATGGCAATTTTTTCCGATCCCCGTGGGGCCGTCACGGGGACAAGGCGGGGAGGAATATTCCTTCCCATGGGGCGGGGATGGGGAGCATTTTCCCCCCACGAAATTTCGCGGGGAATTTTCCCCACCCCATGGGGCCCCACGAGGATCCTATCCCTGCAAAAATTAAAATTAAAATAAATATAAATTAAATTTATTTTAAATTTAATTCATCTCTCAAACTCAAATCCAAATCCAAACTCAAACACAAACCCAAACTCAAGTTCAAACTCAATTCAATCAAAATTAAACTTAACCCAATTTTACCTAACCCAACCCAACCCAACCCAATCCATAAAAATTAACCCAATTCATTCTCTTACTTACATTTAACCTTAACCCTAATTCATTTCTCAATTTTCATTTTCACCTTCCCCTCCATTGTTGGTTTAATTTTTGTTTATGTTTTAGTTTAGCTTGGATTAATCTTTGTTTATATTTGGAACAAATTTGTTAATTGTTGGTTTAGTTATTTATGTTGAATTG